TCAAACACACACACACACACACACACACACACACACACACACACACACATAAACCCAGACATCCACGGAGCTGTCTGATGTGTGTCTCTCTGTAATGCTTCTTATCTCCTCCAAACACCCCCTCATCCCTAACTTTACAACCCTCTCATTTCACGTCTTTGATCAAAGTGGCGCACCACTGAAATGACAGTGGCTTGGTTTAAGCACAGGTCTGTGGCAGTCCAAAGAACAGAGAGATTCCAGTAATGAAGGGCTTGGTTCTCTCCCAGAGCTTTTGTGATTGTCAAAGCCACACCAATATGTTCGTAGGAAGTTACCAACACCTGCTCCAGGAATTACAAGAAATTTCAAGGAATGGTTCATTTTATCATTTATTCACCCTTATGTTCTATTTATTCCAAACCATTGTGTATTTCTTTCTTCTTTGAAAGGTGTTCGTGATGCTCTTTTCCATACAGTGAATGGAAGCTAATGGTGACCAACTTTTCAACATTTAAGAGAAGCTTAAATTAAGAAAATCTGCACATATACACTGAGAAAAATTTGGTGTTGAAACCATTTTCACTAAGAAATTGCTAGTAAATTTCATGACGAATTAGCACATACAAAGCTATAATACAGTTTCCAAAGAGTCATATTTTGTGCCACTTTTTTTCTTATTGGAGGTCAGTGTTTCCCAAAGACTTGCACTCTATTTGTGGTGGCATAGATGTGCAAATTGATTCTCTGCCAGCAGGAGGCGCTTTTAGAGCGGGAGAGATAGCAGTTTCCCCTGTAACGCTGTACACAAAGCAGCGCTGAGCTCACAAACGCTGCTTTATCAGGCATTACAGGCAAGATGAAATGAAAATGACAGCGAAAATTTTTTAAAGACAGTCGTATTTATTTCCTTCAGAAATACAGTGAAATAAAAACACCCATGCCGCGTTTTGATTTTGAAACGTGCAGCGCTCATGTTTATTCAACGAAGTAAAAGCCTTTTGAAAAATATATTTGTGGCGGTCAGTTTTGATATTGTGGCGGGCCGCCACAAATAAATCAATGTATGGGAAACACTGGAGTTCAACAAGCTCTGGTCACATTCACTTCATTGTATGGAAAACATTTTTCTCCTCAGAAGAAAGAAAATCATACAGGTGAGGGTGAGCATATGGTGACTGAAAATTCATTTTGGGGTCAGCTAGTCCTTTAAATAACTGTGTTGTAATGCATCGCCATGACATCATGTGCTTAGTTCAGCCGGTGTCTCCTGTAGCCAAAGTCATCAGAAAATATCGGGATACATCCATCTGGATCTAGTCAGCGGTGCAATTTATTTGTATTGAATTTGCATTAGGATACAAAACAGAATCTCATCTGACCTGAAGCTCATTGGAAAATTGATCGTCATTAATATTGCTTGAATATTGATTGTGCTCGTACATCAGAACAGCATAATTGAGCGAGCGTTGGAAACTTGGAAGCTGTCTATCCATTCGATTCCTGAATCATGTTTTAAAATTTATACCACAGTGTTATTTATTTCTTGATTGTGATTGGCTGATCTATCTATCCATCCATCCATCTATCTATCTATCTATCTATCTATCTATCTATCTATCTATCTATCTATCTATCTATCTATCTATCTATCTATCTATCTATCTATCTATCTATCTATCTATCTATCTATCTATCTATCTATCTATCTATCTATCTATCTATCTATCTATCTATCTATCTATCTATCTATCTATCCATCCATCCGTCCGTCCGTCCGTCCGTCAGTCTGTTAGTCTGTCTGTCTGTCTGTCTATCTAATCTTTTATATACTTGATATATAATTTAAATATAAATTATATATACACACTTTATAGTATGTATATAGAGAAAAGAGAATTGTGTATTAATTTAATTTATACCAGTGTTATTGATTTCTTGATTGTTATTGGCTGATATAGTATATAATATATTTAATATATTTCTGTTTTTTAAATAATAATAATAATAATAAAATATTCTTCTTATTATTAATATTATTATGATTGTTGATGATAATATTGCAACAATTTTGCATGTTTAATGTTTAATATTGGATTGAAATATTGGATTATAATATTTTATATCAAGTACATTTCCATTTTCTTAATATAATCTTTTTTCTAAATAAAATGATATTAGGAAAAACTCGTGTTAAATGTTATTTAATCAAACATCTCACTTTTTTCCCAGGATCCCGTCTGCGGCAGGAAGACTACGCACCCCGCATTGTGGAACACCCCTCTGACCTGATCGTATCCAAGGGCGAACCGGCCACCCTAAACTGCAAGGCGGAGGGGCGACCCACCCCCACTGTGGAGTGGTACAAGGATGGAGAGCGTGTGGAAACGGACCGGGACAACCCTCGATCCCACCGCATGCTCCTGCCCAGCGGCTCGCTCTTCTTCCTGCGTATCGTACACGGCCGTCGCAGCAAACCCGACGAAGGCTCCTACGTTTGCGTGGCCCGTAACTACCTGGGAGAAGCGGTTAGCCACAACGCCTCACTGGAAGTAGCTAGTAAGTGCTCGGCTGGTTTCTTATCACGCTGGGTTCTTGTGGTTTATGGGTGTCTACATATAGCATGCAATATTAAGAGTTCAGATGTGTTTGGTTAACGTAGGCTTAGCGGTTCAGTTCCGAATGATTCGTATCGTCTTCCAGGAGCGGTTTGAAAACAGGCCAGTCTTAATTTGGCTTTGTGTTTGTGACTTTCCTGGCCTGGAACTGAATATAAGAGAGCCTGTCGCCTCTCCAGCTGAATAGAAAGCGTTTCCAGTTTCCTCTTGGGTCTCTGGGTCTCAATGGACTCAGTGGGTCGGATAATCTCGCTGGAGATGGGCAGGATGTGATTGTGCCACTGGACCTGCATGCTGTTCCTGATGGAGGAAACGGGCCAGACGGCCTGAAGAGAACAGAATAGGTCTTAGTAGGTGGCCGTGAGCTATAAAAACCATAAATGGACTCAAAACAGTTTATGATATTTACAGTAGAGATCACAAGAAAGCGGTTACCTTTATCTGTTATGCTTTATTGATGTGTGCTGTATCTCTTTGTCCGATTGGCATTTGTAGTTTTTTCTTTTTTCATTTGATTCGAGGAGTTGTGCATCAACGGGGTCGATTTTTATTCTTTTTTAAAAAGGATTCACAAAACCGTTTTTGTGTACAGGCTCAAAGCAGATACTTTAAATGGGCTTATTACTTAAATCTTGTGGTTTTCAGCGATTCTCCTTGGCCTCGGACGTGATATGCATTACATACCATCTCTCTTTAAGCTTGAAAGGACTGATCTCGAATATCAACCGCTTTTCAAGTATGCCTAGGAGCTGTCACCAACCCTCTTGTTGTAATCGAATCGAGACCGTGCTGGACCCGGAGGGGGGCGAGTTGCTCGTGTAGTGTGTACCAATGGCATGTCTTACTCACTCTTAAGATCTGCTATTAAAAACTGGCCTTACCCTTATAGTAATGTACTGTAGTTCTTGCCTACATTTAAAAATCTATTAATTATTAAGTATTTATATATATATATTTTGAATTTTATATAATACATGCAATTTAATATATCATTAAATGTGATTTTGATAATACTTTTTTCAGAGGATTATTATTTTACTCCGAATTGTGTTTTTTTATTGTTTTAAAAATAAAGTTACACTATTTACTGAGAGTTATTCTTAAGAATCTATTTGGGCAATGGGGTAAGAAAAATAAACTGAATTCAAGTTATATTTTCTGAAAAGATTTTTAATAGAGAGTTTTTAAAGCGTTTTTATATCTTGCAAAATTTTACGTCTGAATTCAATGTATCTTGTTTTCCAGTAAGTAGCTTAAAAAAAAAAATAAAAAATAAAAAAATATATATATATATATATATGGTAGTATAAGTATAGATTAGCTAAAATTGACTGAGAGTTATCTACTAAATTTACTGAGAGTTATTCTTAAAAATGTATTTGGGCAACAGAGTTAGAAAAATAACCTGAATTCAAGTTATGTTCTCTGAAAAGAAGTTTTGATATCTTGCAAAATTTTGCTTCTGAAGTAAATTTTTGTAGTAAATATCTAGTATAAAAAAACGTGAAACATTAAGAAGAAAAGATCTAGCAATTTGAAATATAGTAATTGTTGTTTAACTGTGAACACCAACCAAAACTACAATTTAAATTTTTTTTTTTTAAATTAACTAAAAATAAACTAAAAATAAACTAAAAATAAAAAATATTAAATAAATTTACTTAATCTTATTACTTAGGCCTATTATATATATATATATATATATATATATATATATATTCTTTGGACCTCCAAATATTTAACCATTGAGCCAAAATACCATGGTTAATACAGTTAGCGTTACTAGTGTTTTTGTAAGCTCCTGTAGGCCAGTGCTGGTCAAACAGAAACATAAATTTGTATATGTTGAAGTTGGTGGGAAAATGATGTGAGCTCAGAGACAAAAAAGTGAGAAAATATCATGCGGTATATCAAGCAGTGGGTGACTGTAACTGTATGTTATTTGTTCTGGAGGCCTTCTTTTTTCTTTTTTTCTTTTTTGCAAGAATGAAAACAAGAGGTTTGGCGGGCGGGCGGGCGACTTGGCCCGACATGAGGAAAAGCTTGGGCTGTTTGGCCGCAAACCCTTCGGGCTGCTTATTCTGAATAAGGTTCAAACAGGACCATAATGACACAGTGGCAAAGCTCAAAACCCTCACTGCCTGTCCGCTCCCTCCGCCCCCCTGCCCCGCCGCCACGCATGTAATTACCCCATTCAGGCAACCATGATGGAAACCTGCGACAGGAAGGTAGTAGAATTCCTGCCTAAACTCCCCTTTTCCATCCAAAACTAGACAGTCAGTGTCGGAGGCAGAGAGAAATCTATCACTTCTCGGATATCAACACTCACCTACTTATTCAGACTGACACCAGGAATGTCAGACCTGCTGTTTGCCAAGAAAACCGCCAAAAAGGAAGTTAAGACCTCAAAATGTGTTTGCTCTGCCTAGCCTGCTCTTACAAGAACACTGTGTACACAATCTTTCCTTTTTCTAAAGTTATTTTAATAATCCCGCTTTTACGATCGCCCAATACCCGGCGGACTGTAAATCTAATCTGAATTTCAACAAGCCGTGTTTGGCCAGGCAACGACGCTTAGCACAGATCTGTTGCAGGTTTATTATTAACTTCACGTACAGTAGAGGCTCTGTGCAACGCGCTGAGGTAAAATGGGTCAATCCGGACATTCGTTCTGCTTTGTATGCCCTGTGTATGTCCCTAAAGTTGGATTTTGCCCCTTTTCCTTTCAGTATAAAACTCAGAGGCTTATAATGCTTCATGTGTCACGCTTTGTTAGAGTATAATGACTCGCACAGGAACAAAGAATGAGAGAGAGGAATGTAAGAAAAGATGGGACTGGCTTTATCCGTAAGAGCTCACTGTTGACCCCGATGGCTCCGGGCCACGCGTTGCGTAATGCGTAGTATCAGGCTGCGTCTTTAAGGATGACAGACGTGTCTGTTGCAGGTTTTCTCGCACTCTAAAAACAGCTGTAAAATGGCAATCAAAGAAAAGGGAGTTTAAGGACCCGCATAAATGACAATGTGAGATTGTTAAAAGATTGATGGGCGGTTATGTGCCTTTTTATTGTTACGACTACTTACAGTGTGAAACAGGTTCGATTAGTTGGGGTTGTAACTTTACTTAATAAGTATTTTTACTGGGTTTCCAGTTTAAAAATGCTTAAAATTGATTAAAAGTGACAGTGAAGACATTTATTATAATGTAGACAAAAAATTGTTCAAAAATCGTTTTGGATTTTTCAGTTTATTAACAAATACAAAAATAAAGGGTTATACAAAAATATTAAGCAGCACAACTGTTTTCAGTATTGATAATAAAAAGAAATGTTCTTGAGTAGCAAACCAGCATATTAGAATGATTTCTGAAGGATCGTGTGACACTGAAGACTGCAGTAATGATGCTGAAAATTCAGCTTTGCATCACAGGAATAAATTACATTTTAAAAATATATTCAAATAGAACACAGTTATTTTAAATTGCAATACAATTTCAGAATTTTTGTGTTTTTACTGTATTTTTGATCAAATAAATGCAGCCTTGGTGAGCAGAAGAGACTTATTTCAAAAACATAAAAAAACCTTACCATTCCAAACTTTTGAACAGTAGTCTATCTTGTAGGGATTTCTCTCTCTCTCTTTCTCTCTTTTAAAAAAATTTTTTTTTTTAGATATTTTAACTGGAAAATAAGTAAAAAAAAAGACTAGTTCAATTAGTAAGAAGTCACATTTTTGCAGGGTGAGAGTCATAAAAGCTAAACGTTTTCTCAAAACTCTCACTTTTTTACCTGTAATACTTCTGAGAAGTCAGCTTTGTCCTTTATTAGCATGCTAAATAACTGCAGCATGTGGAAAGCCTCTAATTATAGTGTACTCTTCCAGTTCTTGGGCTGCGGTGGGAATGTGGATCAGTACGCCAGACCCCGATAACCCCGTCAGGCGCTCTCTAGTCTTGGGCTAAGAGAGACTTATTAATCCGGTAAATCATTAATCATTAAATCATCTAATTACATCATCTAATTTTTGTGTTTAAAACTATTTATCCCGAAGTTTTTCATTCCCAATCTGATGCTGAAGTTAGGTTTGATTACTGGTTGAAAGAAAGTCAGTTTCTGCAGTGCTATATTCAAAATTATGTGGACTGGGCGATATAGCTAAAAAATGTATCAACAATATAATGTTTCATATCGTTCAGTATCGATAATTATTGACATTTTTATAACCTTTTGTAAAACAAAGAGCAATAGAAAAAAATGTTTAAATTTAACCACTGTATTTTTAAATTAACACAATTTATTGAGACAAACAACAAATATTTTTTGTTTTAACAGTCAAACACACAATACAAATTAAACAAATATCTAATTTCTAATGTTTTATATGCAGATTAAATAGGTCTT